CTCTCTCTCTCTATCTATCTATCTATGGCTGGATGGCTCTTTGTCAGGAGGACTTTGATTACGTTTTCTTGCCCTGATGAAGGGAGATGGATTGGATGGCTTTAAGTATTTTCTGTTGGCCATGGGGGTTCTGTGTGGGAAGTTTGCCCTGATTCTGTCGTTCGTGGGGTTCAGAATGCTCTTTGATTGTAGGTGAACTGTGAATCCCAGTGACTGCAACTCCCAAATGTCAAGGTCTATTTTCCCCAAACTCCATCTGTGTTCATATTTGGGCATATTGAGTACTTGTGCCAAGTTTGGTCCAGATCCATCATTGTTTGAGTCCACAGTGCTCTCTGGATGTAGGTGAACTACAACTCCCAAACTCAAGGTCAATGCCCACCAAACCCTTCCAGTATTTTCTGTTGGTCATGGTTGTTCTGTGTGCCAAGTTGGATTCAATTCCATTGTTGATGGAGTTCAGAATGCTGTTTGATTATAGGTGAACTATAAATCCCAGCAACTACAACTCCCAAATGACAAAATCATAATTTTTTGAGTGATGGTCACTCCTTGTGTTGTGAGACGTTTTGTTGCCAAATTTGGTGTGATTTCGTTCATTGGTTCTTTTGTTTTTAAGGTACTCATTACGCACAGAGCATTTATATTTATAGATAGATAGATGTGTATGCCAATGTTTCTTCAAGTCAGATGGGCAAGTGCCAGTGAATACCAGGTGCTGGAGACTATATTTCAGAAGAAGAAACTGGCAAAACCACCTCTGAGCATTCCTTGCCTTTGAAATTCATTGCCAGATCCTTCTTTTTTTTTTTTTTTAATTATTAAGGTTTTGTTGAAAGAAGATAATATTTGGAAAAGAGAAAAAAACCCCAAAAAAGAAGAACCCTCATTTACAGTGAAAGTGGGGAAACATTTGTCATTTATAGGAAAGTATGAGAAGAAAAGAGAGAAGAGGAGGGGAGCGGTAAGAAAAAGCAAACAATAAAAATAAGCTATGGGATGAGAAAATACTTGCTGTCTTCCTTTTTTGCTTTTTATTTAGAGTTTTTTGTTATATCTTTAACAAAAAAAGAAAGGGATACATCAATAGTGTGGGAACAATATTCGGAGAGGAAAGTGGGCGATGAGAAAGGAGAGATTTTTAGAAGAAAAACACAAAAACAGGGAAAAAAGGAAAATAAATGTTCTAGGTTGACTTCCTTCTATTCATGGTTGACAATAATTTGGCTATTTATATGACAGGAAATAATTTTACTTCCCCGTGTCCCTTGTAGTATCTTGTGAATGTCATATTTTAAATTATCAAATCCATCTTCAGTGGGTTGTTGTAGGTTTTTTCGGGCTATATGGCCATGTTCTAGAGCCATTCTCTCCTGACGTTTCACCTACATCTATGGCAAGCATCCTCAGAGGTAGTGAGGTCTGTTGGAACTAGGAAAATTGGGTTTATATATCTGTGAAATGACCAGGGTGGGAGAAAGAACCCTTGTCTGTTGGAGCTAAGCGTGAATGTTTTAACTGACCACCTTGATTAGCATTTGATGGCCTGGCAGTTTTTTTGGTGTGGCTTGTTAGTGCCTGGGGCAATCTTTTGTTGAGAGGTGATTAGCTGTCCCTGATTGTTTCCTCTCTGTTGTTTTGCTGTTGTAATTTTGGAGTTTTTTAATACTGGTAGCCAGATTTTGTTCATTTTCATGGTTTCCTCCTTTCTGTTGAAATTGTCCACATGCTTGTGGATTTCAATGGCTTCTCTGTGTAGTCTGACATGGTGGGTGTTAGAGTGGTCCAGCATTTCTGTGTTCTCAAATAATATGCTGTGTCCAGGTTGGTTCATCAGGTGCTCTGCTATGGCTGACTTCTCTGGTTGAAGTAGTCTGCAGTGCCTTTCATGTTCCGTGATTCGTGTTTGGGCAATGCTGCATTTGGTGGTCCCTATGTAGACTTGTCCACAGCAGCATGGTATACGGTAGACTCCTGCAGAAGTGAGAGGATCCCTCTTGTCCTTTGCTGAACGTAGCATTTGTTGGATTTTCTTGGTGGGTCTGTAGATAGTTTGTATGTTGTGTTTCCTCATCAGCTTCCCTATGCGGTCAGTGGTTCCCTTGATGTATGGCAAGAACACTCTTCCTCTGGATGGATCTTTGTCTTGACTCTTGTGGCTTGTTCTCGGTCTTGCAGCTCTTCTGATGTCTGAGGTGGAGTATCCATTGACCTGTAGAGCCCAGTTTAGGTGGTTCAGTTCATCTTGGAGGAGGTGGGGTTCGCAGATTCTTTTTGCACAGTCTGCCAAGGCTTTAATGGTGCTTCTTCTTCTTCTTCTTTTTTTACTTGGGTGATGGTTGGAGTCTTTATGTAGATATCTATCTGTGTGTGTGGGTTTTCTGTAAAGTGTGTGACCTAATTGTTGATCCACAAGAACCCAATGATTCTGGCCATGAAAGCTTTGGACAAATCAATCTTCAGTTGCTTAAAGTAGTTCTTTACCAGATCCCAATTTGTTTGTTTCTTTGGTAGGCTTTGATTTGGGGACATCCAATAAGTTAGTTGGTTCATGTTCATTACTTTTACAATTTTCTTTTGCCAGTCCTCTCTTTTTGGAATTTCTGATATTCATTGCCCATCTAAGTACTAACCAGGGCTGACCCTGCTTAGCTTCCAAGATCAGAGGAGACCTGGTGCCTTTCCTGTTCCCCTCTATCTTGTGGGGTTACTCAGGGGGCCATTCTCTCCCCTCTGTTGTTTAACATTTATATGCGACCACTTGCTCAGCTGGTTTGATGTTTTGGGCTTGAGTGTTACCAGTACGCTGATGACACTCAGCTTGTGCTGAAGATGGAAGGCCAACCGGACTCTGTGCCCGATTATTTCCATCAGTGCCTCGAGGCCGTTACTGGATGGCTGCGTGCCAGCAGGTTGAGGATGAATCCATCAAAGACAGAGATCCTATGGCTGGGTCAACCGAGCAGTGGGGATATCCAGCTGCCTACCCTGGATGGTGAGGCGCTATGCCCGTCATCATTGGTAAGGAGTCTGGAAGTCTTTTGGACCCTCTGCTGACGATGGAGGCCCACATCTCTGCCGTGAGCAGAACTGCCTTTTTTCATCTAGACGGCTGGCCCCCTACTTGTCCAGGGACGACCTAGCTACGGTGATCCAGGCTACAGTCATCTCAAGACTGGACTACTGTAACGCCCTCTACATTGGCCTTCCTCTGTCGGTGATCCGGAAGCTCAAGTTGGTACAAAATGCAGCTGCTCGGCTTCTTGCAGGAATTCCGATGAGATGCCACATAACACCAATCTTACTGCAGCTGCATTGGTTACCAATTGAGCACCGGATCACTTTCAAAGTGATGGTACTCACCTTTAAGGCCTTACATGGTCTGGGGCCGATGTACCTGAGGGACCGCCTCACCCCATACCAACCCCAGAGATCCCTCCGTTCTGAGGACCAAGATTTGTTGGAAATTCCCAATGTCAAGACCTTGCATCTAACAGCAACCAGACGCAGAGCCTTTACAGCAGTGGCACCATCACTCTGGAATACTCTGCCACCCAAAGTCCGTGCCTTGCGGGACTTATCAGCTTTCCGCAGGGCATGTAAGACATATCTGTTTCGACAGGCCTTTGATCTTTGATATTGCTGTTTTTAAATTGTTTTAAATTGTTTTTAAATTGTGTTAGATTTTAGCCTGATCTTGTAAGCTGTTCCGAGCCCCAGGGGAGTGGCGGCATATAAGTTTGAATCTATATAAATAAAAATGTAATGTTAGTTCGTGCTACCATCAAAACTCAAAAACCACTGGGGGAATTGACACCAAATTTGGACACAAGACACCAAACAGTCCAATTTATGTCCTCCACTCAAAAAAATTGATTTTGTCATTTGGGAATTGTCGTTGCTGGGATTTATAGTTTACCTACAATCAAAGAGCATTCTGAACTCCACCAATGATGGAATTGGGCCAAACTTAGCACACAGGCCTCCCATGACCAACAGAAAAAACTGGAAAGGTTTGGTGGACATTGACCTTAAGTTTGGGAATTATAGTTCACCCACATCCAGAGAGCACTGTGGACTCAAACAATGATGGATCTGGACCAAACTTGGCACGAATATTCCATATGCCCAAATATGAACACAGATGGAGTTTAAGGGAAATAGACTTTGACATTTGGGAGTTGTAGTTGCTGGGATTTATAGTTCACCTACAATCAAAGAGCATTCTGAACTCCACCAATGATGGAATTCAACGAAACATGGCATACAGGACTTCCATGACCAACAGAACACACTGGAAGGGTTTGGTGGGCATTGACCTTGAGTTTGGGAGTTGTAGTTCACCTACATCCAACTCTTCACCAGGGAAAGAAAATGTAATCAGAGCCCTCCTGACAAAGAGCCATCCAGTCATAAATATAGATGGATAGATAGATAGATAGATAGATAGATAGATAGATAGATAGATATGATTCTCTCTCACACACACAGATATAGTATCATAGATTTGAAAGAGACCCTTAAAGAAGGACTATGATATGTTGCATATTCCAGAGTAGGCAAACCAGACAATCTCCACATCAACACTGACAAAGAAACAACAAGAAATACTGTTTACTCACAAGCATAAAGGAATTACATATATTAGAAACCAACACTTTCTCATTACTTTATTTTCCAGATCACCAGACTGGGCCACAGCAACGCGTGGCAGGGGACAGCTAGTATAAATAAATAAATAAACTGTGTTCTATAATGCAATACATCTTATTCTAGCTTGGCCCCTGTGGAGCGAAAGGTATAGTTTGCCCATATGCATATGTGGAGAGGAGAGTGATGCAGACACACATTAGCTTCATCTTTTGCTTGTTCTTGCTGCATGCTCTGATGCTTGTCTATATATATATATTTTAAAAACCTCTGTGTGAGTGTGTCTCTGTGCGTGGAAAGTGGGTAGAGACAGCTCTTCCATGCTAAAAAGGCAGGAGGAGGGATCTTGGAAGCTCACGTGTCCTGTTTTTCCTTTGCCTCCCCCCTCCCCAACTCTCCACATCTCTCTCCCTCACATCATGTTAGCCTCTTCTATCCATCACTGCAGAACCAGGATGGAGAAATTTCACTCTCCCTCCTTTTGCCTATACCTAACTCTTCCTTGATTTTGATCCCCTTCCCTTCATCTGTACCTCTCTTTCCTTCCCTCACTGTCCCCTTTATCCCTCCTCCCCTTCTCTTTCTCTCTTAGCAACAATTCAAAGAGGAAAAAAAGAAAGGAGGAGAGAAGAAGACAACGAAGAAAGAGGAAAGGACCAGTGAGAATCCCAGACTTTCAATGCAAAGCAAAAGGAAACGAAGAAAGGGCACCACTGCGAGCTGTCTTCCTTGCATGCTGTACCAACTGGTGCCAGCCCGGGTTCCTATTATGAAGACATTATGAGCTGCCCGCTACAGACTTGGGTGTTGACTGCTTGCCTCTCTCTGCTGCTTTGTCATTCAGGTGAGGGGTGTCTGCCTTTGCTTTTGGACCCTCCAACTTTATTATTTTATTGTGCATGGTTTTGAGATGAAGGGGAGCCAAGGGGTGGGAAGCCACAGTAGCCGACAAAAGGACAGGGTTACAATTCCTGCATCCTTCCAACAGCTGGCTGGGAGCATCTTGTTCCACCACTGCCTCCTCTCCAAACAAATGTGACTTACTCCACATTGCCTTTTTTGAATGGGGCATGTGAGGAGGGAGGCCGATGGAAATATACTACTTCTAAGACTCTCCCTCTATTTTTTTCTGGACATCCACCCACTCCCCGTGCCCACGTTTCGACACCCACCCCACCAAAGCAGGGACTGCAGCCTTTTCTGCTGCATAGACACATTTTTCTGCAGCTCTTTCCAGCCTAAGGTGGAGCAACAGCTGTGGTGGATAGGCTGCAAAAACAGCATGAACCTGGGATGATTTTGGGGAGAAGGGTAACAGTGGTCCCCTGGTTTATGGAGCCGAGGCTTACTATTTTTAAAGGAAATGTAGGGTTCAGGGTGGTTTAGGGTCATCAACAAATGGTGGTGTTCCGGTTCCAGGAATGCTCGAGCCAAGGATCAGCCTTGGATGTCTGCATGCCAAAGTTCAGCCCAGAAATGGCAAAATAAAAGCAGAAGATGGGGACCCAAGCACAGTGCCCAGATGGCAACCTCACATCTAGGATGCAGGAGCCCCCAGTGGTGCAATGGGTTAAACCCTTGTGCCGGCAGGACTGAAGACTGACAGGTCGGAGGTTTGAATCCGGGGAGTGTACGGATGACCTCCCTCTGTTAGATACAGCTCCCCACGCGGGGGTATGAGAGAACCCTCCTATAAGGATGGTAAAACATCAAAACATCCTGGTGTCCCCTGGGCAATGTCCTTGCAGACGGCCAATTCTCTCACACCAGAAGCGACTTGCAGTTTCTCAAGTCGCTCCTGACACAAAAACGAAATCCAGGATGGCAGGACGTGGTTTGCAGTTTGAGATTCTAAGGATGGTAAAACATCAAAACATCTGGCCATCCTCCTTGCCGATGGTCAATTCTCTCGCACCAGAAGCAACTTGCAGTTTCTCAAGTCGCTCCTGACATTAAAAAATATCTGGATTTTATGTCAGGATTGATTTGGGAAACTGCAAGTTGCTTCTGGTGCGAGAGAATTGGCCGTCTGCAAGGACATTGCCCAGGGGACACCAGGATGTTTTGATGTATTACTGTCCTTGTGGGAGGCTTCTCTCATGTTCCTTCATCGGAAGCTGGAGCTAACAGAGGAAGCTCATCCACACACTCCCCAGATTCGAACCTCCGACCTGTCAGTCTTCAGTCCTGCTGGCACAAGGGTTTAACCCATTGCACCACTGGGAGCTCCTGCATCCTAGATGTGAGGTTGCCATAAGCAGCCCGTGATTATCTGGGCACTTGGCTTGGGTCCCCATCTTCTGCTTTTATTTTGCCATTTCTGGGCTGAACTTTGGCATACAGACATCCAAGGCTGATCCTTGGCTCGAGCATTCCTGGAACCGGAACACCACCATTTGTTGATGGCCCTGAAACACCACTTAGCTTTGACTCATGTTTGAGGCTTCCCGAATTCTAGAAATCGTTAAGTTCTAGAAATACAAGATGAGAGGATTTGAGCCTTCCTCGAATCCCAAACTGCAAACCATGTCCTGCCATCCTGGATGTTTTTTTTAATGTCAGGAGCGACTTGAGAAACTGCAAGTCGCTTCTGGTGTGAGAGAATTGACCGTCTGCAAGGACATTGCCCAGGGACGCCCGGATGATTTGATGTTTTTATCATCCTTGTGGGAGGCTTCTCTCATGTCCCCGTATGAGGAGCTAGAGCTGATAGAGGGAGCTCATCCGCCCCTTCCTGGATTCAAACTGTGACCTGTCGGTCTTCAGTCCTGCCAGCACAGGGGTTTAACCCACTGCGCCACTGGGGGCTAGTAATAATGAGATGAACAGAGTTGCAACTAAGCAATAGTATAACAACAGCTAAAGGGTTGCATCTTCTTCAAACTACAAGAGAGGAGATTCCATCTGAACAGTAGGAAGAACTTCCTGACTGTGAGAGCCGTTCAGCAGTGGAACTCTCTGCCCCGGAGTGTGGTGGAGGCTCCTTCTTTGGAAGCTTTTAAGCAGAGGCTGGATGGCCATCTGTCAGGGGTGATTTGAATGCAATATTCCTGCTTCTTGGGGGGTTGGACTGGATGGCCCATGAGGTCTCTTCCAACTCTTTGATTCTATGATTCTATCTTCCAAGTCTTTTAAGAGCCGGTCCCAGCATCCATCCCTTTTGTTGGCTTTGTTGGTTAGGTTTTCTGGGAGGTGCAGACCAACTACATCTGGAGAGCTGCACTTTATCTGCCTCGGTATAGATTTTTGTCCCTGTCTCAGTTCTCTTTGGCTTGACCTGAGTAAGAGCTTGCCAAAATTTCCCCTCAAGGCTGTACAGAGGCACAGAACTGGAACACTTGACTTCTCCCCAAAAGAGTACTCTTGAGCATGTCGGAATAGATTTCCTTCAGCAGTGAGTACCACAACTGGCTTTTGTTTCCCTAACATCTCTGGTCTTCTTCCAAGGGCTTCCAGATCAGAACGGGAGCCAGAACAATGCTTAGTGTGTTGGCCCGGGATCTGGGAAAGCCAACTTCAAGCTCCCACTGAGCTCACTGCATAACCTTGAGCCAGTCATTCTCTCTCTTGACCTGGCCTTCCCTCTAGGTCAGGGGTCTTCAAGCTTTTTAAACAGAGGGCCAGGTCACAGTCCCTCAAACTGTTGGAGGGCTGGATTATAATTTGAAAAAAGCATGAATGAATTCCTATGCACACTGCACATATCATATTTGTAGCGCAAAAAACCTAAAAACAAACAAACAAAAAACAAAAAAATCCACTTAAACCAATACAATAATTAAAATGAAGAACAATTTTTATTTATTTATTTAGAGTTTTTATAACCTCTCAACCTCCGGAGAGGGACTCAAGCAGGCTAACAACAAGAGATTCAGTGCAATAAGAGAAAGCAAATATACATCATCAATATAAAATACGTTAAAATACAATTCATACCATTTACAAAAAGTCAGTTCGTCAGAGTGAAATCACCAATTACAAATTCATCGCCATCCACCAGTAGGTCAGCAGTTATTGACTCAGTCATCAATCTGCAAATGCGGTATCCCAAAGCCATGATTTTACCAGCTTTCTAAAAGTTAGGAGGGAAGAGGCAGATCTAATCTCCATCGGGAGGCAGTTCCAGAGCCGAGGGGCCACCACCGAGAAGGCCCTGTCCCTCGTTCCCACCAAACGCGATTGCGAAAGAGGTGGGACCGAGAGGAGGGCCCCTCCAGAAGATCTTAACAACCTTGATGGTTCATAGGGGAGAATCCGTTTGGACAGGTAAATTGGGCTGGAACCGTTTAGGGATTTATAGGTCAACACCAGCACTTTGAATTGTGCTCAGAAGCTAATGGGGTGCCAGTGGAGCTGACGCAACAGAGGAGTCGTATGCTCCCTGTACCCCGCTCCTGTTAGTAGTCTGGCTGCCGCTCGTTGGACTAGTTGTAGCTTCCGGGCAGTCTTCAGAGACAAACCCACGTTGAGAGCGTTGCAGTAGTCTATACGGGATGTAACCAGAGCGTGTACCACCATGACCAAGTCATTTTAACAATATCATCTTATTAGTATTTCAATGGGAAGTGCGGGCCTGCTTTTGGCTGGTGAGATAGGATTATTGTTGTCGTATGCTTTCAATCATTTCAGACTTAGGTTGACCTGAGTGAGGGCCGGGTAAATGACCTTGAAGGGCCATATCCGGCCCTCAGGCCTTAGTTTGAGAACCCCTGTTCTAGGTGCTGTTCTAGGGAAAAGGTAAGATAGGAATGTAGCTGGCTGATAAAATGGAAAAAAGGCAATTTCCATTAGCTGCTCATGAGAGAAAAGGTTCGGCTCACCAACTCTACTGGCTGCCGATCCAGTTCTGAGCACAATTCAAAGTACTGGTTTTGACCTATATTTATTTATTTATTTATTTACTTTACTTCTATACCACTGTTCTCAGCCCGGAGGCGACTCACAGCAGTTCACAACACACAGGGAACAGCAAAATTCAATGTACCAATATAAAAACAGTTAACAACCTAATCTAATACACAGTTAGTACACAATTACTATAATAACCATTCACTAGCGTCTCATCACTAAAAAACAAGATCCAGATTCGTCATCCATTGTTCCATTCCTATGTCATTACCATTCATTGCACTAATTATTCGAACGCCTGCACAAATAGCCAGGTCTTTACTTTTTTGCGGAATACCATTAGAGATGGTGCTAATCTAATGCCTATACGGCTCCGGCCCAGCGTACCTGTCCAAACGTATCTCCTTCTATGTCCCACCTCGGAGTTTAAGATCTTCTGGGGAGGCCCTGCTCTCGGCCCCACCTTTATCACAAGTGAGACTGGTGGGGGCAAGGGACAGGGCCTTCTCAGTGGTGGCCCCTCGCCTGTGGAAGTCACTTCCTGGGGAAATTAGGTCATCGACATCCCTCCTTTCGTTCAGAAGGAAGTTGAAAACATGGATATGGCACCAGGCCTTTGGGTAATCTGGCGGACTGACAAAATAATGACGACCAGAGTTGGAAAGGATTATGATAATACTGAATGGACTTATGGATTTTTAGAACTCGGTGAATGTTAGCCACTAGATTGGCTTTTCTTTTAGTTGTTATTGTATTAATTGATTGCTTTTAACGATTTGTGATTGCTGCTGCTATGTATTTTACTTGTTGAATTGTTGCCATCGAATTGTGCCGGTTGTAAGCCGCCCTGAGTCCCCTATAGGGGGTTGAGAAGGGGGGGTCAGGCCCGTAGCCAGGATTTCGTTTCGGGGGGGGGGCTGAATTTTTTTCGGGGGGGGGGGTCGGGGGGGCTGGGTTTCGGGGGGGGGGGGTAGCGGATTTCGGTTTTGGGGGGGGGAGGGGGTGAATTTTTTTCAGGGGGGGTTCGGGGGGGGGCTGAGTTTCGGGGGGGCTGAGTCTGAGTGAAAGAGGGTCTAGCCTAGCAAACCTTTTGTATCATTACCCCAATACCCCCATGCATATGGGATATATTGAGTATGGTGATCAGATCATGATATGAATAAACATAACAGTTTAAATAATGCACCAGTAAGGCCTTTTCGTGAACCACCATGAGAATTGGGGGGGGGGGGGCTGAAGCCCCTCAACCCCCCCCCCCCCCGGCTACATGCCTGCTCAGGATATCAGTACTCGAAATAAAATAAAATTTGTATGTGGGCATGTGTGTGTCTAATCTCTCTCTCTCTCTCTCCCCCCCAACCCTTCTTTCTTGGAGCAGGTTTTGCTAAGGCGGACACACAACCTGGTGATTTGCGGAGGCAGATCCCAAATGTCAGCTGGCGCAAGCGATGGGGGGCTTCGGAAGTCACCTACCCCACTCGGCTAGTGGGGCAAAGCTCTGGGGGAGAAATCCAGAGGCCTCAGTTGGACACTCGAGTGAGAAGAGAGCCCAGCAGCCATGGAGGAGGAAGAGGAGATGGAAAAGGTGACAACCCTGTAAGTGAACCCTAGAAACCTGTTGCCATTCCACTTGCTCCCCTCTTTTTTTCCCCAGACACTTTTTTTTTTTGTCACGTTGTGTTTTCCAGGGCATTGTGCTCAGGCTCTTCATGTTCAAGCGGGGGTGGCTGGGTGGGAAGAGCAGGCTCCAAGCTGTTCTGTGAAACCAGATGGCATGCAGGCACAATGGTTGGGTGGCAAGGACAACTTCCAACTTTTTAATAGGATCCTCTTCTTTGGCAATGCAGAGCGACCTGGCGACCTGTTACGATGGGTTTTTTTTTAATTTGTTCAGGAAGAAGAATAGAAAAAGTGCCTGACTGTACTTTTAGTGACATCGTCACCACCACTCATCCTGCTGTAAAGTAGTTGTTGCTGTTTCATGTCATTTCTGACTCATGGCAACCTAAGATGACTTATGCTGATCTATAAGGGCAAGATTTGTGCAAAGGGAATTTGCCATTGCCTTCCTCTGACGCTGAGCGAGTGTGGCTTTGGCTTACCCAAGGTCACTCAGGGGATTTCCATGTTATTAGTTAGGCAATAATAATAATAATGCTAGGTTCTTGTGCTTGCCATAGATGCAGGCGAAATGTCAGGAGAAATGCCTCTAGAACATGGCTCTGTAGCCCGAAAAAACCCACAAGAACCTAGTGATTCCAGCCATGAAAGCCTTCGACAATACAATAATAATGCTCATTGGAGGGAAGGATACTAGAGACAAAGCTGAAGTACTTTGGCCACATCATGAGGAGACAGCAAAGCCTAGAGAAGACAATTATGCTGGGGAAAGTGGAAGGCAAAAGGAAGAGGGGCCGACCAAGGGCAAGATGGATGGATGGCATCCTTGAAGTGACTGGACTGACCTTGAAGGAGCTGGGGGTGGTGACGGCCGACAGGGAGCTCTGGTGTGGGCTGGTCCATGAGGTCACGAAGAGTCGGAGACGACTAAACGAATGAACAACAAAGTTAGGCAATCCTTCATTGTCTGAGTAGGATTCTCTTCCAAGATCTGTGTACTGGCGGTGGGTCCGTAGGTGACTGTGGAGCCCTATTCTTGATCTGCATGTTCTCCCGCAGTGAGGGCATTGGTTTCCAGGTGGAAAGTGGTCCCAGTCGGGGTTGGCTTGACGCGCCTTCCTCTTGGCACATTTCTCTCTTTCACCCTCCATTCGTGCCTCTTCAAATTCTACAGCACTGTTGGTTACAGCTGACCTCCAGCTGGAGCACTCAAGGGCCAGGGCTTCCCAGTTCTCAGAGTCTATGCCAGAGTTTTGAAGGTTGGCTTTGAGCCCATCTTTAAATCTCTCTTCCTGAGTTTAATTGGGGGGGGGGGGGAATTTGGTTCGGGGGGGGGGGGTGGGTAGGATCTACCCTAGCAAACTTTTTTGTATTTATGCCCCTTGCTTAGCAATTTTATTTATTTATTTATTTAAGTTTACGATTTATTTATTTATTTCTCGTGTCAGGGCAGCCAGTCAATTATATTACATTTCTAACAGAACAAAGCAAACAAACAGAGAAAATACAAAGTGTGTGAGTTTGGTAGTTGATTAAATGTCCTTTGACCAGTATCTGGCCACTTGGAGTGCTTCTGGTGTTGCTGCAAGAAGGTCCTCCATTGTGCATGTGGCAGGGCTCAGGTTGCATTGCAGCAGGTGGTCAGTGGTTTGCTCTTCTCCACACTCGCATGTCGATGGATTCCACTTTGTAGCCCCATTTCTGAAGGTTGGCTCTGCATCTTGTGGTGCCAAAGCGCAGTCTGTTCAGCGCCTTCCAAGTCGCCCAGTCTTCTGTGTGCCCAGGGGGGAGTCTCTCATCTGGTATCACCCATGGTTGAGGTGCTGGGTTTGAGCCTGCCACTTTTGGACTCTCGCTTGCTGAGGTGTTCCAGCGAGTGTCTCTAGATCTTAGAAAACTATGTCTGGATTTAAGTCGTTGACGTGCTGGCTGATACCCAAACAGGGGATGAGCTGGAGATGTCTCTGCCTTGGTCCTTTCACTATTGGCTGCCACTTCCCGGCATGGTGATCAAATCATGATATGAATAAACATAAGTTTAAATAATGTACCAGTAAGGCCTTCTCGCGGACCATCCTGAGAATTTGGGGGGGAGTGTCTGAAGCCCCTCAAGCCCCCCCCCCCCCCCCCCGGCTACAGGCCTGACAGTAGCAAAATTACAGTTATGAAGTAGCAACAAAAATAATTTTATGGTTGGGGGTCACCACAACATGAGGAACTGCATTTAAGGGGTCATGGCATTAGGAAAGTTGAGAAACGCTGTACTAGAGGTAAACAAGACCCAGATCGGAATTTATAAATGAGGTAGAATAATAAAAGATTCCAAATTACCATTCAGCCTTACATCGCTGCGCCTTCTGATTTAGCATAGCATACTTTGAAACATAATCATCTGCTGAATTAGGTCAAAATACTTGCTAGTTTTTGGATTGACTGGGATGAGCTGCGTGGAGGAGTTGTGGTTTGATTGCAACCTCCCGATGGTAAATTGCAATCCATCTATTGAATATCAGTGCTGGGTTGTTGTAGGTTTTTTTGGGGCTATATGGCCATGTTCTAGAACAGTGTTTCTCAACTTTCCTAATGCGGTGACCCCTTAGTAGAGTTCCTCATGTTCTGGTGACCCCCAAACATAACATTATTTTTGTTGCTACTTCATAACTGTAATTTTGCTACTGTTAAGATATAATGTAAATATCTGATATGCAGGATGTATTTTCAAATCCCAAATACCCGATATGCCCAAATTTGAATACTGGTGGGATGGGGTGATTGATTTTGTCATTTGGGAATGTTGGAGTTGCTGGGATTTATAGTTCACCTAAAATCAAAGAGCCTTCTGAACTCCACCAATGATGGAATTGAATCAAACTTGGCACACAGAATTCCCATGACCAAGAGAAAATACTGGAAGGTCTGGTGGACATTGACCTTGAGTTTTTGGAGTTGTAGTTCACCTACATCCAGAGAACACTGTGGACTCAAACAATGATGGATCTGGACCAAACTTGGCACAAATACTCAATATGCCCAAATGTGAACACTGGTGGAATTTGGGGAAAATAGACCTTGACATTTGGGAGTTGTAGTTGTTGGGATTTATAGTTCACCCACAATGAAATAGCATTCTGAACCCCACCAATGATAGAATTGGACCAAACTTCCCACACAGAATCCCCATGACCAACAGAAAATGTTATGTTTTCTGATGGTCTTTGGCGACCCCTCTGACACCCCCTTGTGACCCCTACAGGGGTCCCAACCCCCAGGTTGAGAAACACTGTTCTAGAGGCATTCTCTCCTGACGTTTTGCCTTCATCTATGGAAACCATGAAAATGAACAAAATCTGGCTACCAGTATTAAAAAACTCTAAAATTACAACAGCAAAACAACAGAGGGGAAACAATCAGGGACATCTAATCACCTCTCAACAAAAGATTGCCCCAGGAACCAACAAGCCACACCAAACAACTGCTAATCAAGGTGATTAGTTGAAACATTCACACCTAGCTCCAACAGACAAGAGTTCTTTGTCCCACCCTGGTCATTCCACAGATATATAAACCCATTTTCCTACTTCCAACAGACCTCACTACCTCTGAGGATGCTTGCCAGAGATGCAGGCGAAACGTCAGGAGAGAATGCCTCTAGAACATGGCCATAAAGCCTGAAAAAACCTACAACAACCCAGTGATTCCGGCCATGAAAGCCTTCGACAATACAATATCAGTGCTGTTTAGCATGTAGGACTAAAGACTGTGGGAATGGGGAGACCCCAGAGTCAGTTCTATGGGAAGCTACAGTGCTTTTAAGAAAAATAAATCCAATACTACCCAGAAATGAGCAATGGGAGGACGCTGTTCTGTATTTCCAGGCAAAAATAATGTTGGTGACACATGCAGGCATAGTTTGCCCTATGAAGGCTGACTGGCCTTTTAGGAGACAATATGGAGTGAACATGTGGAGGAAGAATCGGAATTTTACTTACAAGGCAATTGTGCCATAACAGTGTTATTCAGTACATGAGTTGCGTACTGTTAGCATAATATAACTCTGCTGATGGATATTTACACGATGCAGAGATTATATACTCTCTTTACTCCAGAGTAATGGATGGCTTCAGCATTTCACATTATTAAGTCCTCATAAATCAGTGTTTCTCAACTTTAAAATGCGACAACCCCTTAATACAGTTCTTCATGTTGTGATGATCCCCAACCATAAAATATTTTTCGTTGCTACTTCATAACTGTAATTTTGCTACTGTTATGAATTGCAATGTAAATATCCGATAATCAGGATGTATTTTCATTCACTGGACTAAATTGAGCACAAATACCCATTATGCCCAAATTTGAATACTGGTGGGGTTGGAGGGAAAATTGATTGTGTCATTTGGGAGTTGTAGTTGCTGGGATTTATAGTTCGCCTACAATGAAAGAGCATTCTGAACTCCACCAATGATGGAATTGAACCAAACTTGGCACACAGAACTCCCATGACCAACAGAAAATACTGGAAGGCTTTGGTGACATTGACCTTGAGCTTGGGAGTTGTAGTTCACCTGCATCCAGAGAGCACTGTGGACTCGGACAATGATGGATCTGGACCAAACTTGGCATGAATACTCAACATGCCTAAATGTGAAAACGAGTGGAATTTGTGGGAAATAGACCTTGACATTTGGGAGTTGTAGTTTCTGGGATTCATAGTTCGCCTACAATCAAAGAGCATTCTGAACTCCACCAACGATGGAATTGAACCAAACTTGGCACACAGAACTCCCATGACCAACAGAAAATACTGGAAAGCTTCGGTGGATATTGACCTTGAGCTTGGGAGTTGTAGTTCACCTGCATCCAGAGAGCACTGTGGACTCGGACAATGATGGACCTGGACCAAACTTGGCATGAATACTCAACATGCCTAAATGTGAAAACTAGTAGAGTTTGTGGGAAATAGACCTTGACATTTG